AAAAATAACCTCTGAAGATCTTTAAGAAGAAAAATAATAATTAATAAATCTCAATCTCTGCAACTTCTCGTGTTTTGCTTTTCAGTTATAAGCTAGCCGTTACAAAGAGGAAGGAAAATGAACCAGTCAGCACCACTGCCTACAATCAGGTTGACCCATGGAAACCTCCCGTGGTCTTTGCTGACTTCATAAACAATGAGACTATTGTCAATGAGGTAAGTGAAGACGAACCCAACATAGCACTGAAGCACCTTGGAGGTTATTATTCCACAGTCTGGTGCTGTCCAAATGCATTGGAGTTTACGTCAAACGTATTTGGAAGACATCAGAATAGGAAGGCATCCTGTTGGACTGTCACCCAAAGCTTTTTCTGGAAATAGGCAAATGCTGCCAAGGGTTTTAGCAGCACTTTCTTTTAGGGAAACAAAAGCAGAAACAAAAACAAAAAAGAAAAACAAGCAAGCAAACAAACAAACAAAAAGAACCAGACATAGTGATCTTCAGGATGCTTGCTCAGAGGAGAACTGGCAAATATAAATTCTCCTGTAACCAGTGTTAGTTTTTCTGTATGCATTCTTGTTAGCTGAGGTAATGTGACCTTGGAAATTACACTGAGCAAACATGTATAGATAGATTTATGCCTTACACATTGCATTTGTTTTTAAGAAAAATGGCTTTTTAGTACCACGCTTGATAAAATTTTGCAGATGAATATAGGGTCTTTGCTAACAGGTTTCTACTCCAGTTTTCCATTTCTATGAATCCTTAATTCTGAACAGATAAGCATACTGTAAAATTATACTGTCAGATTACATCCCACCCCCGATTTTAGTAAACCATTTTTCATCTGCTGCTTTAATTAACAAGCTTAGTTTCTCTGAATCCACACCTGTATCATCTTTCTATTGAACAGGTCTTTTTCCTAAGATAACAAAATAATATTGTCCATTTCCCTTTCACAGGATCTGGTTGCCTGGATCAATGCTGGTTTTCTGCATATTCCACATGCTGAGGACATACCCAATACAGCAACCCTTGGGAATGTGGTTGGTTTCTTCTTGAGACCGTACAATTATTTTGATGACGACTCTTCCATGTATTCTCCAGACAGCGTCTACTTCACCAGCCTGCAGAACCCCACTTCCTGTGATGTCAACCAACTTGCATGTCTGCCTAAAGTAGCTAC